TTGTGTCTTTGCTGGTTGCTCTGTTTTCCTCCACAGCACCTAGATTAGCACATTGTGCATCAGTAAAAAGCATCTTCCTTGCACAAAAACAAGCAACTTACCTTTGTTCAACAAAGTTCAGGGGAAAAAGTAACTTGAAAAGATGTCGCGGGAGTGCGACATCTAAAAATAGTGTATCGCACACTGAGTTTTTTGTTATCTCACGTGCAACCTATATGTTTCTCTCGTTGTGACCTGCCTCGGTCTGCTCTGCTGTCGCATACAGATGCGCGCATTGAATGTTACATAAAGGTTGCACGACATGAAAAACAAAGTTGCACAACACAACAAAAAGATGAAGAAATGTGTTGCCAACGCATTTCTTCATCTATTTTCATCGATTTTATCAATTCATTGTTGCAGCCCTAAACAGCAATGCAACTCTACTACTGACTTGCAATATGGATGTTTTATCTCCATAAATACCACAGGCCTGGAGAAGTTATGCCATGTGGTGAAGTTGCCAATGCAAACGGTTAGCTTCTGCTAGTTGAGACGTTCTCTGCTGTTTCCTGGACGCTAAACCAACAACAGCTTTCCCCGTTGTGAGTGAAGATGGGTGAGTCCATGGACGTTAAGTGACAGTGTGATGTAGACCTGTCAGGATTTTCTAATTCTAGATCTTCATCATCTACTTTGTATCAAAAGCTAAAGCAGGAGATAGGTATGGGAGACCATTTTCATGTTCAGTCTGCATGAAAAACTCAGAGTGACTGATTATAATCAGGAATAATTCTTTAAAAATTGATTTTCAGTAATCCTCACCTTTATGCTCGTTATAATGGAGAAGGAGGTATTTGGTCATTGAAACCTTGTGAGTGCAACAAATTAACTTTGTTTATTCAACATCATTGATTTCTGCAAAAAAACAACAACATATTTTTTTAAAGGTGAGGGGTTATTTTTTTTAAATTGGTTGCACATTCACACTAATTAGATTTATAAAAATTGCATTAACTTTTTTTTTTCTTTACAAGCACTGAAATTGTACAATTTCCACTGAGTTTCTTGCTATTTAAAACTGATTGTTGTTTACAGTTCGTGACACAGAACACAAAAGATGGTAGTGGTAAAATATGTCTTAAGTGTAGCAGAAAGTAACGTATGATTGTTGTGCTGCTGACACAGAGCACTCCCTATTTCAGCTTTGACATTAGCGGGACATTTTCTGACACTCTCTGATCCAATCAGAGCTCATGTACAGGTCTCTCATAATTGCGACCACATTTATAACCAGCCTTCATGACAAGGTCACACAAACAAAAACGCCTAGATCAACACTTGGCAAGGAAGTAGGTGAATGTATGTTAATTATATGTAGATAAAACTAGTGCTTGGACATTTGTTACCTAAGCACTATCAATAATATTTTCCTCAAATTGTATTTTCATTCAGGTTGTAATGATACTACTTAAGAGTTATTACTAAGAAATAATAATGCAAGTTGTAATGAAATGTAAACACACTGACTCAGAGAGCACATTTGCATAAGAAAATCACAAAAGGATTTAATGAAAAGTGGCGTTTTAACTAAATTCAAATAATTATATTGAAATTAGATTAACTGTCATGACTCAGTAAAAATAACCTGTAAACTCAGTGGCGGTTCTCCATCGAATTACTCCCCGGGCGAGGCCCCCTTTGAGCGCCCCCCCCCCCCAACCGCCCCCCCCACCACCACCACCACACCACCCCACCTGCATGAACGCACGCATGTTTTCTACAAACAGGCATGTTTTATTAGAACGACTATTGAACATTCATTTTTCTAAGTTGCACATATTTACATTAATTACTATGAAGTTGTCAGAATGTAAAGCACTATACATTATATACTGTATCAAAATATATAGAATCAAATATACAAAAACAAACAATAACTAAATATTAAGAATATATGAACATAATAGATAATAAATATTCTAAATAGCAAAAAATTTCACACATAACAAACTAAAGATAATCACTACAGCATTGCACTTAGAACAGAAAACACAAACTAAAATTAAAACCTAACCTTGATGTAATGTCATCAATAATGTCATCACATGAAATCTGCTCCCCTACTGAGTGATTGATACTAATCAGAGCCAGGTTAGTGAGCCGCCCCTGAAACATAGGTGACCTCAGGTATGACTTGATCAAGTTTTGAAAAGCTCCTCTCAGCTTGAGCCACAGTGACTGGCAGAGCAGTCCAAATGTTGGGGTAGATCTCCAATAGATCTCATGATCCATAATATTTTAGAATTGCCTCTGAAATTGTAATTTAAACTGACATAAAAAACTGTAGACCACCAAAAATGCCAACTTTTACAGAACAAATCAGGTAAAAAATAATCAGTGCAACCATCTGCAATAAATAAACAGGACAGTTAGTGGTGACTTGGGAGTTTTCTTCTGCTTGTACAGTTGTTTTATTTATTATTATGTGAACATGATCAACATGTGTTTGTTGTTGTTCAGGCAGGCCACAGGCTGCAGCGAGCATTTAACAAATCCTAGTTTGAATCAGTAAAAAACGATTCAAGGACTTTTTTCGAACCATTTGAATATTCATTTCAATATTTCAGCCCTATTAGCTCTGTTAGCAATTAGTTGACCGCATTTAACTGTTAAAATCCCAGTTAACTGGTTCAAAAAATTGAAAACATGCATCATGAGAGCTATACATACCTTTATTTTTCTCCTCTTTTTTCTTTTTTTTCCCCCTGAATGGGGCACCTGGTGGTTTTAGCCTTTTTATGTTCATCTCTTCTGTTTGGCTCCTGACTCAGTAAGTTTCCTTTAGTCAGGACTAAACTATTTGACCTTGATGGGGGGTGTCCACAAAATCGTTTTGTTTTTCCTTTTTTTATTCGGCCATTTCACACAATTCAGAGAAACCTGAAAGAATGATAGGCCTGTGTTTGTGATATTATGAATGAAATGTGGAAGAACGTTAAGATGTGATTGACTTTAGCCATGTTAATACAGTTGATTCAGCCCCTGCATGCTCATTTCATTTGGGAAAGACGCAGAGGTGAATTCCCCCGCCGCACCCCTCCCCTTCCTGTTCTTCATAGACACACGGAGCACGTGAACGTTCTCAGTCAGCAGGAGCGCCTGCAGCTGCAGGGGGCGCCAACTCGCTGTTTCCAATCCAGACACCGTCATATGACAGATAATAGAAAACCTCGGTGCGCGCAGATTTCCTTTTTTTTTTTTTACTCCGCGCTTGTGCGCCCCTTTTGTGTCATGAAAAAATGCCGCCCCGGGCAACTGCCCTGTCTGCCCGTGCCTAAAACCGCTACTGTGTAAACTAAATGTTCCTCCATAGACATTGCTGCAAACATGGCAGTTTTAATTACGATGCTCTAGTGTAGGGGAGGGCAATCCTGGTGCTCGAGGGCCACTTTCCTAAGTGCTTTGGTGGTTTTTCTGCTTCGACACACCTAATTTTAATCAGCAGGTGATTAACGGGATTCTGCAGACCTTGATGACCCGCTGAACAGGTCATTCAACTGTTGAATCAAATGCTTAAGAGCAGGGCAACAACTAAAACATGCTGGATTGCTACCCTTGAGGATCGGAGTTCCCCACCCCTGTTCTTGTTGTTCAGCCTTCCTTACAACAAAAAATAAATTTCTCAAAAAAATTATTTCATTCAAGTCTAAACAATAAAGACATGGTTAACTCCAAACCCGCATGGTGCAAAATCTGTAAAGGAAATAATTTATATATAGTTCTCATAAAAATTCAGGTTAGCTTTTGCTGCAGAACTTAATCTGGCAACCCAACCCAGAATGTAACTGCATATTATGTGTGACGCCAAAGATAATTGGGAACAGAAGTTTGTAAGAGAGAACCCTAACGCAAAAGCTCAGCACTTTAGTTTCAGCTAACCTTAAAGTGACCACGTGTATTTTTACAGATAATCTGTGGAAATATCCATCGAAACGTCGTAGAAAATCAATAATATGATGTCCAGTCGTTGAAAAATATTGGCGGCTTCGTAACATATAACCACAAAATTTGGGTCTACAGTACATAGGGCACGTGTCTAATGTCATTGGGGGAACCATATTAGACGCCATGTTACCTTCTGAAATGGAATCCTGACACAAACACTCACATCTCAAGCTGCAAAAGTGATTATAGTGACTTCTATTGCTGTTGTGTTTATGTTCTTTTGAGTTATCAGTTTATTCTACATCACTTAGTTTTTGGAGTTTTCAGGGTCTAAGCGTGAGACTAAATGTTGGGATCAAACGTTTGCCGACTGAATGAGATGTCCCAAATCAGTATACTGCCAAATCTTCTAAAGAAGAAAAAGAACAAAGCAAAAAAAGATAAGGCAGTGCACTGAGTCATGCATGAAAAACATGAATAAGGGGAAAAAACACAAGGGTGAAGAAAACTGAAAATAAAATCTTACCTGGACATATTAAACCAAACCAAACTGGATATTTGGGTCAGAAAGGAAGGAAGTCACTCGAAAATGTGAGCACCGTTCTAAATCAGAATATTCCCCTCCACTCAGGAACTAGAGCGGATCTCTGAGTGTTTGCTGCATTCTAGGAGACCCGTCAATCTTCTGCAGCTGGAATTCACTTTTAACTGACACCTGCTGCAGAGTCACCAACTTCGAGGCTGTGAATGCTGAGATCCTTGTTCTACTGTGGAAACTTCAAGACTACAAGTCGAATCCTCTTAGTCTGATTCGTGAACTGGGCCGAGGGAAAGTTGGATCTAAATCTTTTATTAAATAATGATTTAATGACTACATATGTGAGAGTGGAAAGAACATTGTAGGGCAATGATATTTGAACTGCACCATTTAGTGGACTCCTTTTATAATCGCATGACTTTTACTACAGGATTGTCTTTTTCTTGTGTACAATACAAACACCTAACTTCTCACAATAAAAATAATCAACGCAAGCAGGTTTGTGTTTTATGGGCTGAGCTCTGGGTGATCATACCTTCTGTGTTCTGGCCCCAGCTGTAGGTAAGCAACGAGAGGATTGCCATTCCTGTCCCCAGCCATCTGACAAGCCACCTCCCCCGTCGCATCTTCTGTCAGACCTTATTGCCTGCCCACCTGGATGAAAACAAAAAAGAGAAGAAAACAAATTGACACCATTTCTATCTCAGCGAATGGTCAAGGCTTCCTGCATGAACAGATCACAAATAAATGGACATCTACCTAAAGTATCCTCACAACATCTTCATGAAGAAATAATCACCAAATAGGTTTGTGTAGTTGTGTAAATTGTCTCTTTTTTGTTTGTTTTGTGTTTCCGTCCACGGGCTGAGAAAGTTATTAAAATGTAAACTAATGGGGGAATTTTGCTTTCATTAGAAATAATCATTTGCACTTATTTTGGGGCCAAACCTCTCCTAATTTATCCTTAGGGGGTTCAGAGGAAGCAGCAGTTAATGATGTATTATATAACAGTCAAAGATTCAAATGTATTCCTTTCAATTTATGTCAATTTATTTGGCTCTAATTCACCAGAAAAAGAGTTTCTGTGAACTTCTCATATGAAAAGTAAGTTTAATGTACAAATCACCTAATTGAGTTAATTAATGCATCATAATATTTCAATCTAATTCCAATCACCATCTTGTTCCATGTGTTTTCTTTAGGTGATTTGCAGGAAGGCAGGAAATGTCTTGTGAATTAGCAAACTAGATGCATACAGCTTTTGCCAGCAAAAGAGCAAAAAATGAACGTGCATTAATGTTTGCAGGATATGCAAGAAAAAAGCATTAGAGACTCGTTTCTAAGCATTCATATTTTCCAGCTGATGAAAATTTTTGCAGCTATTGCACTTGTAGTTGATCACAGTATACGTTCTTATGTAATGAAAGCAGCAACCTCCTCTGACTAAACAGAGGCAGAATATTTGAAATAGACTAAGAAGTTAGGCTACGGTTTAGATGGATGGCACTACAGAGCACAAAAACAGACCTGATCGTTTGATTTGACAACCGGAATAACAAAAATGCAACACAAACATCACACTGAACCATGCAGACTAACTTCATGTGAGGTACGTGCACCTGTTGAGGCTCAGAACAGGTAAAGTCGTACACACAGACTTTCTAGATGTGCAGTACGAACACAGTTTCACAAAAGACAGCCACCGCTCTGAACTATAGAGGAGGGACTAATTGAAGGGGAACAGAGAGGTCCTATCTGTCTGTGCTATTTGATGTCGCACCTTCCTCTCAAGGCATCTTCTGAGAGCTGGTGATAAGCTGTGAAATCAGCTTTCATAGCACATTCTAAAAGGGAATGAGAGGTGGCTCGAAAGCATCAATGCCTTCGTGTCAAAGCATGTTTGACTAAATCAAACATGTGACTCACGCTATCGGCACTTCATTTGAAATGGGGATTTCGCTCTCTGTTTCACTTCAGCCATTTAAACACAAGCATGCTGAACAATGTCTGTTCGACAATGTACAAGGGAGGACTTAAAGTGAGCCCACACTCGTTTTGTCAGTACATCTGCTGTGGACGCTGCTGTTCCAGGAAGAAGATGTGAGCTGGAGGACGGGGAGACAGAAAGCTGTAGGATTTGGAGTCTTACTCATTAATATTCATGATATACAAACATCTTGCCTCTTATTGGCCAACAGCAACTTGATTCTTCCACTGCTTCCAACGTTGTTGATTTATCTTTACAAATAACTCAAGAAATAAGGAGTTCTGCTATATTATAGAGTTCTTAATGCTAACAGTTAGCTTCTACTAGCCGAGATATGCTCTGCTCTCTCCTGGATGCTAGATCAACAGCAGCCTTCTCCGTCGTCAGTCAAGATGGGTGAGTCCATAAATGTCCAACAGTGTGACATAGATCTGTGTGGCTTTTTCTGAGCCGAGTGTTTCTGCATAGGGCTGAACGATTTTAGGAAAAAAGTTAATTGAAAATTTTCTAGCAGAAATTGAGATTTCAGTTCAATTCACAATTTTCTTCAGACAAAAGTACAGCACTAGCCTGTCAAGCCATCCTGTATATTAAGTTTAAGTGAAAAGATGTTCTAGATTCTAATCTAGTACAACAAATCATTCACATTAATATTTACTATTTAATCATACAATAAAATCAGTTAAAGCTAATAATAAATTACCCCATTATTATCTTTTTGTATGTGCTTGTGAAGCAACTTGTGATTTTAATCTAGAGAGGTGCTTTATAAAAACATGTTCTTGTTCTACACCAAAAATGCAAGGAGGAAATCTGAAGGTAGAAACAGCTTTCAAATGTATTAAATAACAAAAAATGCTGCAGTTCCCCCTGCATTACCAAGGCAGGCTGGCTGCACGTTTTTCAAACCATTTTTAAAAGAGAAGTTGAACTTTCAAGTCAACTAAAGTGCGCAACTCCGCACTCGCTGAAACATAAACCAATCTTTAAAAATCAGCCTGAACCTACTTCGATGCGGGAGGAATCTCTCTATCCCTCACTCACCTACGTTCCCTCTCTCTATCCCTCACTCACCTGCGTTCTCGCTCTCTCTCCCTCACTCACCTGCGTTCTCTCTCTCTCTCCCTCACTCACCTACGGTGCCATTATTATCGGCTCTAGTGTCGCTGTGTGTGGAAAAAAATAAAGCAGGGAAAATAACCTTAATGTGCAGCTCTGTCAGCTGTGGAATTGGGCTTGGCTCTGGACGGTACACCCCACCCCCGCGCTGGCTGTTGCCACCTCCGTAACACAGGGGGAAATCCCAGATCTAAAAAAACGTTACACAACAGATCCTTAATCAGACAAAACCGCAAAAAAAAAAAAAAAAAAATACGCAGCTTTGACCTGATCGCAATTTCAGTCCAAAAACAATCATTCAGCCCTATTTCTGCCTTTATTTTCTTTCCATAGCTAATGCAGGAAATAGGTGTAGAAGACTATATTCATGTTCTGCATGCATGTGGAATTCAGCTTTGTCGATCAGATTTCAAAAGGAACAAGTATTATAAGTTTCTCAGGGAACCTCACTTTAAAAGATGCACTTAAAATGCCCACATTTTTTTGAGTGTTTGCTAGTTCGATTGCTGTTTTGAATGCAGTCTGTCAGTTCTACAAACATACACCAAAAATACAAACATAATTTTTTTCAAACATCAGATTAACTAAATGAATGAAAATGATGTCCTGAACAGCAATTTAACTTTTAGCATAACCCAAATGTACTTGTTAGTTTCCACAATAATTATCTGATTGCCTGCTGCACCCACAGAACAAGCCTTTTTTAGTTTAGTTTGTTGTGTTTTGGGGTCTTGAAAACCAAGCTGAAGAATAGACAGTGGTACTGTTTTGTTTAAACAGCATGTAGATAATTAGTCATTGATTCGCAAGCAATTGTATTTTAAATTGTTTCCCTCTGTGCTTCAGTGTAAGAAGGCTGCTGTTAGAATAGCACTGTAGTACAATAAAACAAATTGCATTATTGTGTCTCGACTCATGGAGAACTCCAAACCTTCTAAAAAGATGTGGTTGCCAATAAAATTTCTAAAGAAATCCAATGAGAAGTAATGTCAGATTAAGTATTTATATTTAGCACTGCACAATTATTACAGTTTTAATCACTAACAATCTGGAGTTTTAACAATTGTAAAAAAATAAAAATAAAAAAAAAACAATACAAGCCAGTTATTTACTCCTCCCTCCTGTGCTGCTCCAAGTTGCAAATCAAGCTCACCTCCCACACAGCATAGCCAACCTACAGTGGCAACTTTGTCGCAATTTCAAGCAACTTTTCAGACCCCCTTCTTGACTTTGTTTCCTAAAAACATGGCGAAAGACTGGGCAACATTTCTGAGGGCCCTCAGAAACTTTCTGTATAACTTTGTCATTGATATTCACCACAGGTTAGGAAAACACACTGCCTGCACTCCGGACTCTCCTTCCGGACATTAGGGAAGGGAATGATGTGTGCACGTTAGATCGACTGACCAATCATAAACCTTTCACACTAGAGCTCACGCTCTAAAAAGTTGTTTTACAAACTAAATAAATTCTAAACATAGCTAGCCATATCCAAAGAGATTTATACACCATCTCACTGGGTGAGATCATTCGATCACATGGCTTCTCCTACCACTGCTATGCAGATGACACCTAGCTCTATCTGTCATTTCCACCGGACGACCACACTGTCTCTACACGAATATCAAACTGTCTCTCCGAGATACCATCTCCAACTCAACCTCTCTAAAACTGAACTACTTGTCATCCCAGCAAAACCATCCATACAGCACAATATCTCATTCCAAAATGACTTCCTATCTCTGGCTCCTTCAAAGGCAGTTCGAAATCTGGGTGTTGTGATTGATGAACACCTGACCTTTGACTCATGTCGCTTTGCGCTGTATAACATATGAAAGATCAGACCATACCTAACACAACATTCCACCCAGCTCCTGGTGCAATCTACTGTCATCGCCCGCCTCGATTACTGCAATGCCCTTCTAACTGGTCTTCCAGCCTGTACTGTGAGACCTCTTCAAATGGTCCAGAACGCAGTGGCGCGTCTGGTCTTCAATCAGCCCAAAAGAGCACACGTCACCCCTCTGTTCATTGAGCTCCACTGGCTACCGCTAGCAGCACGCATCAAATTCAAATTGCTAACACTAGCATACAAAGTCCGAGATGGTACGGCTCCCATCTACCTGAATCCTCTTGCAAAGGCTTACGTCTCAGCCCGGCCGCTCCAATCATCACAAGATCGTCGGCTAGCAGTACCTACACCACGCTCAGGACAATCCAGACACATGCATCGTTCCACAAATGTGGAACGACCTACCAAGCACTACAAGAACAGGGGCTTCCTTTTTGACCTTCAAGAAACTCCTGAAGACCCTGCTCTTCAGAGAGCATCTTCTAAACTAGCACCCTCCCTGCACCCGTCCCCCTCTCTACTGTCCAGTCCTTGTTCCCTCCTCTCCATGATTCATCATGCTGCCTCACTGCCACCTACGTCTGACTGGAAATTGGTTGTTGTTCTAGTTGTTGTTGCTATTGTTGTTGTTAGCCTCAAGGCTTGTTGTTAGCCTCAAGGGCAACATGCCGATTATCACTTGTAAGTCGCTTTGGA